GTTAGTATATGATGCTCGGTGTATTTGATATGTTAGATGAGCAGGGTACAGTGAGTATTGAATACCCTGTGCACTCTACATGTATTAGATACACTGCACACACCAGGTGTGTTAGATGCTCTGAGTATATTGTTAGTATATGATGCGCACTGTATTTGATATGCTAGATGCGCAGGGTACAGTGAGTATTGAATACCCTTTGCACTCTACGTGTATCAGATACGCCGCGCACACCAGCTGTGTTAGATGCACAGGGTATATTGTTAGTATACGATGCACGGTGTATTTTATATCGTAGATCTTCACGGTACAGTGTGTGCATCGTACTTTAATATTGGATGTAGAGTTTTGAACAGTTAGTGTGTGTCGCGCGCTTCACGGCGCCCATGCAGTACATTGATGCACGCAAAATATTTTCTTTAAAACCATACTTATTATAATAAAAAAAAGTACCTTGATTAAACGTTTCCGGCGTTTATTTAAGACGTGGACCTCGTTGACAGAAAGGAAAGAAAGGACTGAATATCTGGAGGGAGGGGGAGATAAATGTCGCATAATGTCAGTTTGCGATTGTGTGACTGATCGTGTTTGTGTTCAAGTTGACTTTATAAAGAAATTGGACTGGAGGCCTGGGTCAGAGTGATTTTAATTGGCCCGTGAAACAAAGTTGGAGAATGATTGACAAACAGTCAAAGTAAAACAATGAAATACAGTAGTGTATGCTATGTATGCAAACTATTTTTTCACGTCCAAGTAAAATCGCTCTATCACATTGCGCGATAATATGTACAAAGATTTGTGAACCGACAAAAGGATTTATTGAGCACGAAATAACAATGTTCATAAGGCATTCCTTTTATCTCGTGTCGTAAATAATAGGCTTTTCCCAAGATACATTTTTCATTGTTAGATAGTCCATTAAGAAAAGGCTACGGTAAGTAACTTTAGATTCGTTGAGCACTGAACGGTATCTTGAAATAGATTTATTGTGTTGTCCTCCATGTTGGTGATATGATTGAGCAAAGAAACGACGATGGAACACGGAATAAGTCAAGAATCTGGCTGGATTCAACTCCAAGATGCCTGGTACGTTATGTTTACAAAACAACTTCAGGTTTGTCACTTTTCAATCAAGTTTATTGGGTGTATTTTGGCATCTGTTTTATATGCATAACATGAGGAACTGGTTATTACTTATCCCTAGGGAGGGGGGAGTCTGGAGGATTGTTGTTGCCACATCAAAAAGATTAACTCTAGCTGTCTTAAATCCATGTGATTCACAGGGGTTATTTACGGGATACCTGTTATTGAAATGGCTTTAGGGTCTCTGTGGTAAATTGTTTTTCTAAATTCAAATCCAACGTTTTTTGAATAGATTTAAATTATTATCAATCTTTAAAGATTTAGATATCATATTTGGAATAAACCTGCCAAGTTCTGCACTTATCCATTTAATCACACGCGCATTCAGGGGAACCCAAGCAATACTTTTTACACCCTAATTTTTTCAAAATTTTCAGCTGTTTTCCAGACTTTTATAAGCCAGTTATTTAGCGCATTATGACGTTATTCATGCAAGTTTTATTAAGAACGAAATTAAAAACACAGGAAAACATGCAAAAGTGTAAAAACAGTAGACCACTGACTAGGTGATTGCAGACCAGGAAATTTTTTTTACTCCTAACCCATTTACTTTTACATAATCGGGAAATACACCTTCAGAGACGTAAAGCCCTAGCTTATCCTCAGCTTTCTTTAAGTGCATATTTTGCTCGGAAAAACCAAATGTTTAAATTGGCGAAAATTTGGGGCCTTGGAAAAAACGGGATTGCAAAAAGTCCAAACGTCTTTTGTCCAAAATTGGTACAACTTCTTACAAAGTGGATACCATCAGAACTTTAGCTTTAAAAATGTTATATCTCTATAGTTTAAAATCGTTGCGCGCATTCTTAGGCCCAGTAGATATCCATCCTTGTACATATAGTTTTAAACGCGTTGAAATCAGTACTAAAAGATCTTTGGTGGCAAAAGATATGGACTGCTAGAGAGAAAATATGCTCCTTACTTAGACTTAATCTTTAGTTTTCATTTAATCCGATATAGCATGAGGACATTCGCTGAAAAAGAATTTTTAAACAATTTGTATATAGGTTAGAATCGTTTCGCGTGTTATTTGGCCAACACATATCCATTAAGGTACTATTTCAAACGAGTTATATTAATAGAAACCTTTGACGAAAAAAGATATGGATTGTCAGTGTGGATATATATTCCTTGCATTTTATACTCATTCATTTTTCATGAGCTCATAGGCTAACCAGGGTTTCTTATTTGTACCACGTGCAGTAGTTTGAAATCCCCATCAAATACGACCGCACCCATTTCAAAGTTCTAGTACTTTGAAATATTCCAAAGTCCTACTACTCGGACTTTGAAATATTTCAAAGTACTAGAACTTTTAAATAAAAACAAACATAACAAAAAGAGTATAAGATGTCGTGTCAGAATACTCGTCACTGTATTCTATTGGGGCGTAGCCTCGCCATTTGAAATTCCACTCGGATTTTGAAACGCCAACAGAATACAGCAACTCGTATTTAATAATTACTTAAACTCAATTTTGGGTTTTTATTTCTATAGAAGAAGGACTTGCGCTGAAAAAGATTTTTTAAACCATATGTATGTAGGTTCCGCGAATGGTTGCGCGTTTTCTTAGGCCAGCACCTATCCATAATACACCTAAATCCAAAATGGCGCACGGCCGAGTGTGTTACATGACAACGAGGCATCCAGGGCCAAATACAAAGAAATAATATGTTGTCAATGCAAAGTATACACTTGTTTACTTGTTCTGTCTTTCTTTTCTTCTTACATTCAGGATAACAATAATTTTGTAGCATCAATTTATAAGAAAATACTGTAAATTTGGCCCTGGATGCCTCGTTTTCAACCGGCCGTGCACCATTTTGTATTTAGGTGTATGTTACTACTTCAAATGTGTTATATTAATAGAAATACTTGACGAAAAAAGATATGCATTGTCAGCTGGAATTTACAGTTTTTATTCAAAATAACTGTTTAGTTTTTATTTCGATAGTATAATGATGGGTTCCCTGTCTCTTGTGTGTAAACTCATTATTTCTAGCTTTCAGATCCCATTTCATTAGGAGGGGTTGACCGAATTTTGCTTGACTTGAAGTAACGGCTCATTTTAATCAAATCCATTACTTTGATCAAATAAAACAATATATGGCTACGGGTAGGGAGGCTACGGCACCCTTTTACCCCTCCCTGGATCCACCCTTGTTCTTAGAAACACATGCTGCTAAAAGTGATGGCATTTATCACCGAGGCGTGAAAAAAGACAAGTACTGTTAATGAGCAGTACTTTACTGAGTCTGCGTACATTTCTTACGATCCGTTAAGCGAGCACATGTGCAACTTGTTGGTGGTTCAAATCTTTCGTCTAGAAGTATGCTTTTTTCTCATAGACATAAAACGACATTGTACAAAACCATGCAAATTATTAATGGACGTGAAGATGAGAAGATGCTGTTGCTATGGTTTAGAAGAGGAAACGCATTTTCTCAGAGAAGATGGCGGACGCGGTGTTCACACCCAACCGAAGTTCAACTGAAGGTGAGTGAGAAAAACTTGTAATCTGTTATCCAAGGCAGTTATAAACTTCATTCTTGGTTCCTTTGAAAATCGAACTTGAGAATATAAATCGAACTATATTTTTAAAGTAATAGATTTCAGTTTATTATAAGCTAATATTGTCAATATTTCACGATCTTTGTCATAATTTTAAATCCAGACCCTACATAATGATAATCATTCATTAGCCTTCATCCACCGTTATCTGGGTTAATTAGCCTTCATCCACTGTCATCTGGGTTCAT